GGGGGCTCGCGGATGGGGTGGGTCCTCATCGTCCCGCTGGGTGGGGGGCTCGTGGACGCGGTGGGGGGCGATGCGCCACACGCGCCCCTCTCGTGCCGACCCCGCACGCACCTCACGCGATGCTGTCGTCACAGATAGGGTGGGGGTGGTCACGAGCCCTTTTACGGCATCAAACCCTGGGTGACCGCACTCTTCGTTTTTGCTTACGCGATTCGTTTTATGACCAAATCCGTAAACGTCAGCGCGTCGGAAAGTGCTGGATCGTGGGGGGAGACTCATTGGCGCCCGAGCCCCGCTTGTGGTCTGCAGGACGCCCCCCGGCCCATGGGGAGGGCTCTGGCGGGGCCGCACAGCACGTCTGTCCGGGTGGACACCGCGGACTCCGTGGCCTGACCTCCCCCCCACCCCCGTGGCTCGCAGGCTCCCACCCTGTGGCCAGGTACCTGGGCTCCGTGGACTACCGCTACAACAACTTCTTCCAGGACCTGGCCTGGAAAGACCTGTTCAACAAGCTGGAAGCCCAGAGCGCCGGTGAGGCCCGGGGTGAGCTGGCTGGTGAGGCCTCGAGGCTTCCCCGCCCCCGCCGCGCCTCTGTGAGAAGCAGCTGGGTGCCCTCCTCTGTCCACCGTGGGCCTCGGGGCTGGCCGCTGGGGCCCGGGGCGGGGGCTCCTGGGGACTTGGAGCAGCCTTGCTGCCCTTGCCCGGGAACCCTTGAGCGGAGAGGGCAGAGGGCCCCCTCTGGCGCCCTCAGCATGGCCACTGCTCCTGGGCTGGGCCCTGGGCAGACAGGTGGAGTGGGGGGAGAGGCGTGGCACCCCACGGACCCTGCCCGGCTTCCTCCTGCAGCGCAGGACACCCCGGACATCGTGTCGAGGATCACGCAGTACATCGCGGGTGCCAACTGCGCCCACCAGTTGCCCATCGCAGAGGCCATGCTGACCTACAAGCAGAAGAGGTACCTTGTTGGGCCCCGGGCTGGACAGGCCGTGGCCAGGGCTGGAGGGGGAGGGTGGGTACCGGTACACCCGGCTCCATGCCGCAGACACGGGCCGCTGTGGCTGCGGCTCTCGGTCCCCTGGGCAGCACGCCGGGGGCTCCTCGGGGTGGCCTTCAGGGACAAACCCGGCTGGGCTTGGGGAAAGCCTCGGGTGGGCCTGGCAGCCCCAGGCCCTCCTCCGTATCGGTCAGAAGAAGGCAGTCTGGTGTTTTCCATTTCGTATGTTGGAATTTCTCACCGTGAAGGGTCAGAGGCAGCGGTCACACCGCCCAGCCCTAGCAGCGACCTGCTCGCTGGAACACAGGCACAGGCTCCTTCGACCGCCCGGCTTCCCGGCCGGCAGACAGTTCTCGCTCTGCCCCGGGGCAGGACGCCGGGCAGCAGCGGGCACTGGGGCTGAGGGCGGGCAGAGATCTGGCTGCCAGGCCCAAGTGGGCGAGGGCCAGGGCCCGGGAGGTGGGGAGGTGGGCTGCAGGGTGGGCCCCGCAGACCGCAGCGTCTCTGCTGGTGTCCGAGGGGCGCGGGACGGCCCTCCCGAGGGGTCAGCCCGCAGCTCCGGCTCTTCCTGAGCGAGGGCCGTGCCGTCCCCAAGCTGCACCTGCAGGCACGTCCTGTCCCTCAGCACAGTAACGTGTCTGTGTTTTCTCTCCTGGTGGCTTTCTGAAAAGGAAAAAGAACTTTCATTTTGACTTTACCCTCAGGTACCGCTGTCCCTGGGTCTGCACCCCTGTCCCCTGTCCCCAGGCTGGTCTTTAGGGCTGTTTAGCAGCGTGAGCAGGTGGGGTGCATCACTTACCCTCCAGCCACCTCTCTGTGGGCCGGGGAGGGGTGGCGCCTTGCCAGGCAGGGCCCCCCAGCTGGGCAGCAGGCAGGTGGCCGCCCCCACCCCGGTCAGGACTTTGCTCTCGGGCCCCCACCCGGTTGAAGGAACCAAGACATCGGGCTGGACAGGCTTTCCTCTGTCCGTTTCAGTCCAGAGTCTGAGCCGAAGACGTGGCCACGTTTAGCTTCTCAGTGAGTGTCCGTGTTTCTGAAGCCACGCTGGCCCCACCTCTCAAATTAGAAGCAGGTGCATGGGGTACCACCACGAGACACTGTCCACTGATGCCACATCTGCCGCGTGTGGGCCTCCTTATCGGCTCAATGTATTTGTGAACCTGGCTCGCGGGCTCCCCCCATCCCCCGCGAGGACAGCATGAATGCTGATCCTGCAGGCGGGGTATCCAGGCAGAAGGGTGGGGGGCCTGCCCTGGGGTGGCACGCACTCGGAGCCTCGCCCTGGCCTGGGCCCCGGGGCTGCGGACAGCAGCACAGAGGGTTTCCCGGCCGACTCTTGTGGCTGAACTGGACGGGTGGCCAGACCACTAAGACCCCCTATGTGCAGTGAAGGGCTTCCCCCCCACCCCCAGGTGGCTCCACCCTCTGAAAACCTGCACGTTGGGAACCAAACACCGGGACCTGCCTAGAGCTGCCGTTTCATTTGGGGCCCCCTTTCCTGTCCTGGCAGCCTGCCTGCCAGGTCCCTCCCCTGGGACCCTGTTCCCACCCCGGGTCTTGGGTTCTTTCTCTCCTGGGAAAGCCCAGCCAGGGCAGGGTCACCGGGCTCTAGGCAGTGCTCCCGCTGAACCCCGAGACAGACCAGGAGGAGGGGTCTGAGCCCCCACGTTGTCCTGCTAAACAAGCCTTTGTGACTAAAAAAAGGCCAGCCGCGGTGTGCCCGCCGACTGCCGCAGAAGCGCGCAGCCTGCTTCGCTGCCTGGCCACAGCGTCTCGTCTCTCCCACGCTGGCTCCTCTGAGCCTCAAGCCAGGGCTTTAGGGAACCCTGGCCCTCGTCCCGTGCCTCTTGCCCCCACCTGTGCGTCACAGTGGTGACACCGGCACCTGGGGTGGGGGCTCCAGACACCCTGGGTGGAGCCCTGTGAAGGCCCAGTGTGTTGGCCACCCTCAGAGCCCAGGACCAGGGGGTCAGCAGATGGTGACAGAGAACAGATGGGTCAGGAGACCAGCAGCAGGTGCGTGGTGGGCATGGCCCTCGGGGCCTGTCTCCACTTGCCCCTTGTGAGAACACCTGCACGGACGGTCTACACAGCACCCGGTCCGTGGCCTGTGGTCAGACCACAAAGGCTGTGTGTGGCCCGGGAGGCTCCCTCAGGGCACTGGGGTGGGGAACGCCCAGCGCCCCGTGTCCTCAGCACCCCTCAGCTCTGTGCCCCCAGTGTCCTGTTGAGGCACGTTTCGTGGTCTCATGAGCCAGACCCAGGGGCCCTCACCACGGAGGCACACGCGTGTTCGTCTGTGTCCCGAGTTTAGGCAAGCCGGTGTCACCCCTGTCACGCTGGGCGCGTGTCGAGTGCTGAGTGTTGTCTGCATGGCCCAGCGGCTCAGCTTGGCTTCTCAGAGTCCAGCAACATCCCTGTGTGGCCGTGCTTCCTGTCTGCCCCTGCAGGCCTCTGTCTGCCTTCCCTGCGTGCTGCTCGTGGGGAGGGTCCTGGGGCCCTGTGGGGCGGAGCCTCCCCCACACCGGGCTGGGGACCCCCTGAGGACCCCGTCTTGCGCCATCTCGCATGCGAAAGCCGGCCGGGCACAGGGTTCGAATTGCTGTTCTCTGAAATGGATAAACTCTATTCCCCTTAGGTCAGAAAGGCTGGGGATTTGGTCATTTCAGTGGGACGGCCCGAATCTGTAGGTTCTTTTGTCCAGAGACGTCTGCCGGGCCTTCTTCGGAGGCGTGATGGGCGATGCTGGGGCGGAGGCCCCCGTGTCCAGGTGGTGCCCAGGGGCCTGCCGGCTGCTGTCCCCTCACGCGGGTGCCAGGCCGCAGGGAGGGGGCAGCGGCTCCTGCCGGGACCGCCTCGGGCGCCGTGCGTGCATTCCGTGCTGGCCCCTGTGCATGTCTAGTGGAGAGTGCTGGCCAGGCACGGACTTCTGTCCCCACAAGGGCGGGCTGGAGAGCCTGCCACCTGCAGAGACTTCTCCTGAATGGCCCTGTGCCCGGGGACCCCTTCCGGCCCGCGCCTTGGGCACAGCTTTCTGAGGGTGAGCTCTGAGGTTTGGGGACGTGAGACTGAAGCAGAGCTGGGAGGATGGCCCGGAGAGGCAAGGAGGCCGCAGGAGGGACAGGAGGCCCGGGACTGGGCCTGCCCTGTGGGTCTTCCCCAGGCCAGGAGACGCTCTTAGAGGCCAAGTGCACCTGGTGGCCAAGCCCTCCCCGGGGAGAGCGACTCAGGCTGCAGCCCAGGCCCCGAGGTGGAGGCCCATCATCCAAATGCCCGGTACAGAAATGGGCGGCAGGACGGGTGCTCGCCTGGGCCACGGAAGACAGAAGGGGGTCCACATTCCCTTGGCTTCTGCCCTCCTCCCCCCCGAGGGCCCTGGGACATGGCTGCCTTCACCGAGGATGGGCTGTGACCAGCGATCTCAGGGAAGCCGTGTGGCACCTCCTCTGCCATGAGTGCTGGCTAGCCTCCGACCACAGCATGGCCCTGAAGCCTCAGTCTCCCCTTCTGGCTGCTCTCGGGGTGTCGCTCTGTCAGAGCACGGTGTGTGCAGGCCAGAGGCCTGGGACCCGCCGCTGCCCCAGTCTCCTCTCTCTGGTTGCCCTGGACTTCACCCGGACTATCTGGAGAAAACCTAGACACCCCGGCTGTGGTCACCCCCGGTGTTGGAGGAAGACCAGTGTCCAGGGCGGGGCGGGGGGTGGTGTCCCGGGACACTCGTGGGAAACCTCTGTCTGGGGGCCCAGCCGGAATGCAGGCCCTCAGGGCACCAGGCACCTGGGATGGACAAGAGACTCCCCCAGGAAGCTGGGCTCCCGTGGAGCTCCCTGCTGGCCTCTTGACCTTAGGTGCAAAAAAATGACCCTGGGGTCGGAGGTCGGGCCGCTGCAGGGACAGGTGTGGGTGTGGTGCCGGCCACACCGAGAGAGGAGTAACTGTGTGTTTCTTGTGTCCTTAGCCCTGACGAGGAATCTTCACAAAAGTTCATCCCCTTTGTAGGGGTGAGTACTTCTCTGCTGGGATGCTTGCACTGCCTTTAAGTTCCAGAACCTTCTTCACCAATCTGAGCAGAGGATTCCTTAAAATCTGCCCCCCAGCCCTCTTAAAGCTTCTTGTTTTCTTCCTGTGTGGAGCAGGGCTGGGCCGTGAGCTCTCTGACCTGTGCAGGCAGACAGCTCACCTAGAGGCGAGGAGGGGCCAGTTCTCGGCACTGACTGGGCACGAGGCCTGTGTCAGACTCGGCTGTGGGTGGGTGCCCCGGGAGGGGCAGAAGGATGCTTCTGTCCCTCAGGAGCTGTGGGACGGGGCTGCCTCCACGCCGGGCTGCTCAGTGGGGATTGCGGTGTGTGTGAATCGGGAAGTTCACTTCCTATGCGCCGGCCGGGCCATGCCACGCTTCACGGCCTCTTACCTCCCCATGTGGCCCCTGGCCCAGGCACCTGCTGCGAGAGCCAGGGGCAGACAGGGCCCAGGCGCAGCAGGCCAGCAGGCCGTGGTTTTACCCTAGCCAGGCGTCAGGGCCACTGCCGACCCTCCTGGGAGGGAAGGAGTCCAGCCGGTCTCGGGGAACCTTCTGTAGTGACGGGCAGGCCCCCCCCCGTGGACACTTGAAACACCGTTGTGTAACCGAGGCACGAGTCCCCGCTTAACGTGACTCCTGACTCCCGCGCTGGTTGGCCCGCACGGCCGTCTGGAATGGCATCTGTCTGACCGGGCGCCCGGGGCAGGCCCCAGAGCCACCTCTGCCCCTCGCTGGGCAGGGGTTCCGCATACCAGTGCCCGGGTCTCACCAACCTCTGGGCCAGGCTGGCCACACATGCTCACGGTTTGCTGAGGGCCGGAGTGTGGAGCCTGTGCCCCCCACCCCCGGGTGGCGGGATGGCCACGGAGGGGTACCGCAGCTCTGTGGAGTCTCCCCAGCACACCCGTGCCGTGGGAGGGTCCTGTGCCGCGTACAGGAAGAACTGGGTCACTGCCGCACCCCAGGAGCTCCCAGGGAGGGTGAGGCAGGACGCAGCGGCCGGGCGGTGGAGGGAGGACGGCACTGGGCCTGCGTCTGGAGCCCTGGCACTGACAGTCAGGCTGGCCGACGATCCGGTACTGCTGCCAGCCAGCATCCCGTTGCCTTTTAGGTGGTGAAGGTTGGAATCGTGGAACCGTCCTCAGCCACATCAGGTGACCCCACGCTCCCTGCCCTCGGGGCCAGGAAGGGGAGGGACACCCCACCGTGGGAGGCCCGGTGGCTCCTCTCCAGCTCGGGGTCTCCCACCTCCCCGCACGGGCCCTCTCTGGCCCCTGGGGCTGCCCTGTGGGCAGAGACACAGGGGCACTCAAGGCTGCCCAACTTCTTCCCAAAGGTGACTCGGATGACGCAGCCCCCTCGGGCTCCAGTGTGCTCTCGTCCACCCCGCCGTCCACGTCTCCCGCGGCCAAGGAGGCCTCACCTACCCCGCCTTCCTCCCCGTCAGTGAGCGGGGGCCTGTCCTCCCCCAGGTAAACGTGGCCGTGCCACACAGGTGCCCCGCCCCACCCGAGCTGAGAGCACCCCCGATGGCCAGAGAATGCGGACAATCGCTCCCGGCCGCTGGCCGCACCTCCGGGATGCCAGGAAGCCCGAGGGTCTGGCCAGAGGGTGGGCTCAGAACAGCCTCTGGGAAGACACGGGCTTGCTTGGGATCGGGTGCCCCGTGAGGTAGGGGCAGCGCAGGCCCTGGCCTGGTGTGTCCCCCCCCAGCCCTCATGGCGCCAGGGACCGAAACCACACCGAGTAAGTGAGTGGGGGGTGCTCCGCATGCACGGGGGGGGGGGGGTCAGGGAAGATGTGGCTGGATGTGGGTCCCTGTAGGGACCAGGGCGTGGGGTGTTCAGCAGCTCTCCCGGCCGCCCTGGGCTCTCTCTTGAGTAGAACTCACCCAAACAAAACTTGAGGGGTCTGAGGATGTCCTCACACCCACGTGGGTCACAGGGTCACAGGGCTGCTCCCAGATCCCACGGCTGGGGGGCGGGGGCACACCTCAGCTGAGGCTGGTTGACCTCGGCCCTCTAGACTCAAAGGGGTGGCTCGAGAGGGCAGACGGGTGGCGACCCGGGCGCCCCTGGGTGACCTCAGCACGGCTGCTGTGCCCGCCCGCAAGGCCCAGACTGGGCTGTCCCAAGAGCCCAGGGAATGGACCAAGTGGGCTCCAGGACTGGGGCTCCACTCTGCTGGGCGCCCACTGCGGGTCATCCCCCCCCGCATTGAGCAGCACGGACGCCAGCTGGCACCTCCTCGCCCGTGCCGGCCACCAAGCCAGGACAGAGGAGTGAGGCCCCCTCTGCTTTCGCAGCCAGGGCGTCGGCGCCGAGCTGATGGGGCTGCAGGTGGATTACTGGACAGCAGCCCCGCCCGCAGACAGGAAGCGAGAGGTGGAGAAGAAGGACCTGCCGGCCACCAAAAACACGCTCAAGTGCACCTTCCGGTCTCTCCAGGTCAGCAGGCTGCCCGGCAGCGGCGAGGCTGTGGCCACGCCTGCCATGTCCATGACCGTGGTCACCAAGGAGAAGAACAAGAAGGGTGAGGTGGGGGTGGCAGGCTGACCGTCGGGGTAGTCGGAGGGGCAGCCCTGCAGGTCCCAAGGTCACCACAACCACAGCCACAGCCAGAGGCTACCTGGGCGGGTGGGAGGGCTGGCGGCCATGGCCACTGTGGAATGTGGGTGGCTCAGGGAGGCTGGGTTCCGAGGGCTGTGGCTGAGCCCTGCAGCCCTTTCCCTCCTAGTGATGTTTCTGCCCAAGAAAACCAAGGACAAGGATGTGGAGTCCAAGAGCCAGTGCATCGAGGGTATCAGCCGCCTGATCTGCACGGCCAAGCACCAGCAGAACATGCTGAGGGGTGAGTGCTTGGCGAGGGGGCGGGGCGGCGTGAGGCTCTCAGGACTCGTGAGAGGTCACCTGTCCACGTGTCCTTCCTTCAGAGGGGAACCCGTGGGGAGTCAGGTCCTTGACCCAAGGTCCCATCAGTCCTGTCTAAAGTGTGAAAGTGAACCAGGGAAGGCTGAAGTGCTCTTGAAAATTCACCTCTGGAAACGCTTTCGTTTTGCCATGAAATGCGTATCACACGTTTGGATAAAGCACTTGTGTGCGGAGAAGAGCTTTTTAAATTCTATTCTCAGAAGTAATTTCTCAGTCCTTTCTGTTCTCTTAAGAGATTGATTTGTGTATCTCAGACTTTTTATAGAAGATACTCTGCAGCTAATTAATTCAGCATATGGAGCCCGGAACGGTTTTCTCTCCAGGAGCTCCAGTCTGACGACCACTGTGGTCCAGAACTGCCCTGCCTTCCTCTGTTGCTTTTCTGCTTTAAGAGCACGGCATTTTAATCCGTTTTGCAGACCCCAGCCAGGGCGGAGGGGCTGTGGAAGAGCAGGTCCTCGCGGTCAGGGAGAAGCTGGCCACCACTGGTGGCTGGGAGCCGG